GTTCACGGGCCGGCCTGTCTTCCATACCAGCCTTATCGCGCCTCCAATGCGTTCGGATAATCGGCCGAATTCGGTTCGACGCTCGTTAATCTTCGGCCGCAGATAGCACCGACTTCGCCAACCTAATCACTGCCCTCTTCTCGTGTTTTCGTCCCTCTCGCTCCGATCGAAAAGCTTCGTGTTTCAACAAACTTTATTATTTTTATTATTTTTAACGCGTTTTTAACCTCGAATCGACAACAATGGATGGAATCATGGATCCGTTGGAGGATCCGTTGCCACGATAAAACTTTCGAATCTCGATGATCCCGATGATTCATTATCAGAGTATTATTAGAAGCGAATCATTTTCCTCGTCAATGGATGCATTGGAAATGGAAAGAAAGGCGGCTCGTTCGAGGAAGAAACGTACAAGTTTAATCGGTTCGGTTGGAAAAACGTTGGAGCGCGTGTTTCTTCTCGGTCGGTCCGCATGGTTTATNGGGAGGGTTTCCCGTGAGCAAAAACACCGCTCGCAACTCTGCGATGTCGCAACCGCGAGTTTAGAAAGCTCGCAACTCTGGATAGACGGAGCTATCCAGGCGTTCGGCCTCGGCTCTCGCGTGGCGTTCAGCTCTCGCGGGAACCGACTCGTGACTCGTCCATAAAGCTTCTCTTATAAAAATTCGCGGAGAACGTGGGCGGGTGAGAGAAACAGCGAAGGGTTGAGAAACAGCTTGGTCGAAAGTGGGACGTGGATCAACGAGGGGGGGAGGGGGAGGGGGATCTCTATATCACTCCGACACCTCGTCGTGTCCCATTTCCTCGGATCGGTCGTGCTACTTTTTGCTTGCCAGAAAGCTTGTGTTATCGAATTCTATCCCCGAGAGAGAATTTTTATCCGTCCAACAATCGGCGGATAATTTTTCTCAAAATTTCGAATCCTTCTTTCCCGCTACGTGTCAGCATGTCGATCGAAGAAAACGTTTAAATCTTTGCCAGATTGGCAACGGTTCGTTGAACGCGTTCCAAAATTCTTCTTTCTTCTTTTTTCTTCTTCTCTACAACTTTCTAAAACAAAAAAAAAAAAAGAATCCATACTCGATATAACGTCGAATATACCGAATACGCAATAAGACTTTAAACTTTATTTTGTATTTCGCTTCGACGTTTTACTTTCCATTCGGTTGGCATTGTTGCACGCTCCTGCTAAGAAGTGTTTCGCCATTCGCGTCTAACGTGTGCTCGTGATCCGCGGTGATGATCGGTTGGCCAACGGTAGATGCACAGACGAGGTTTGAAAAAGCGAACGATTGAAAGAAAGAGAAAAAAAAAAAAAAAAAAAAAAAAGGAGAATAAAGAAACGAAAGTGTGTTGGTGGTTGGATGGTTTTTTGAGCGTGACGAGAAGAGGAGTCGACGTTGGGGAACACCGGTAGCGCAACGATGCACGGACGGTTGTTGGATCAATACAAGCCAGGCTGGCGGCCCTTTTCGAGGGCTTGCCTCTCTCTCTCTCTCTCTTTCTCCCGATTCGCGCAACAAGTTCTCTCTAACGGGTGTCCCGGACTCGCACGATCCCTTCTTCTTCTTCTAGTCCAAGAGATATCCCCCTCGATCCAATTAACGCGTCCCATCCACCCGTTTCGACAAAAGGCCACCTTCTGTCCTCCCTCCCCTTTTAATTAGAAGGATTAATCGCAATTAACCGCAACTTGTCGCCCCCCTCCACCGATTCAAAAAAATTCCAGCTTGATACTCGATAAGAGAATTGGGAGCGGTGACGACAACGAGATTCGTAACGATTTTAATTTTCAACAAGCTCGAGTCTCTGTCCCCACGATGATTCTCGTTTACCCTTCGAAAGGAGGAAATTTTAAATTTAATTTTAATCGAGTTGGAAGCGAGACGCGAGGGTAATCGATTACGTAATCGGGTGCACGATCACGTGGGCGGTGATTAATCGCGACAACGGGTAAACACGCGCGCGAGAGGTCAATGGAGCGGAGAATACGCGGGGGAGGGGAGGGGAGGGTGGGTAGGCAAAAGCGGTGTTGCGCCTGCCTCGTTTTTCGAACGGAAAAATCTTCGAGTCGAAGGGGGGAAGGGGAGAGAAGAAAGGAAAAGGGAAAAAAAAAAGAGCAGGCTAGGCCAGGCCGCTTGGCTAGGCTGCACCGCCGCACCGTTTCCAGACGGCTCTGCCTATCTCGAGGACAGCGAGCGCAAGCGCGCGCTGCTGGCCTGCAACCTAGGCCTAGGTTCCTGCCACGTTTCGCAACGTGCCGGTTTCGTAATCGGCTCTCTATCGCGACGACCGCGTTT